ATCGATGGTGTCCCGAGGACGTACTACGAACGTACAGAGCTATCTGTTTGCCCGTCTATCTACTTATCGGGATCGGGACATGAATCAAAGAGCATCGGGACAACCAGCGGAACCAGATGGCATGTATTTGCCCACGCGCCCCATCATGTATAATAACTTCCGGAGAATATAAGACCACGGGACACCGCGAGACAAAACGGGGCACCTGAAGACACCACTATCGATAACACTAACGATCCTGTTATCTCTCCGTCTTTGTATCGAGACCACCGTCAACATCAATGTATGTTTTTTCTCATTGTTTCTCTCTCTCTCTCTCTCTCTGTCGATATCACCATCTATCGATCCCACTATTGATCCCACCGTCGATCTCACTATGGATCTCACGACCGTTCTCATTATCGACTTACCTATCGATCTCACAATCGATCTCATACTGTATCTACCACTGTCGATATCGCACTCGACCCAACTATCGATCTCAGTACCGATCTCGCACTCGAGCCCACTACGAGACACCAAAGCAGCAGGGCAACCAACGGAACCAGGTGGCATTGATTTGCCCGCGCGTTCTTTTCCTTTAGCAAAACATGCGAGGTCATATAAGACCACATGTCACCACGAGACAACACGGGACACCACCATCGATACCGCTATCGTTTTCGGAACCTATCGATCTCACCTCCCAGCCTCCGACCCATCGACCTCATTATCGGACTGACGGTCGACTCTACTGTCTACCTGGCAGTCTCTCCATCAATCGATCTCACTGTCGACATGCCACCGTTTGGCGCGCCAGATGGTCGAAAGCCTTGACTACTATGCGATGATGGTGATGACGATAGGGGTAATGGTGTTGATGATCGTGTTGATGCTGTTTGTGGTGCTGCTGGCGATGCTGTTTATGATGATTACGATCATGATGGCCAAGTTCACGGTACCGCAATCGATATGGTCAACGTGTCTTGCTCTGAACCAGGACTTGCCTACCGTCTAGGATTGGCGGCGCGCAAATGGTGGTAGGGGGAGGGAAGAAGGCTTCTTAGGAACACCCTGCTTCTCAGAAGGCCCCGGCCTTACGTCTACAGAGAAGGCCCGCGCCTTCTAAGAAGCAGGGGTGCTTCAAAAAAGCCTGCCCCCTCCACCCACCCCCCTCTGCGCGAGGCCGATAGAAGCGACCGCGCGGCCAGGCCGCTCACAGAGAAGAGTGGAAGACTCGGGCGAGAGCCGTGCTCATCGAGTGTGGGCCAGGAGCGCGCAGGCAGAGCCTGGCGCTACCACGCGCCTCTTCTAGCTACTGCTCTACCTATCGATATCACTGTCCATCTCCCTGTATCTAATCGATCCCAGTGACCCTCAGGATCGACCTCACTATCGATCTCACGAGCGATCTCACGATCGACCTGGCGGAAAAACGCGCCACGGGAGACAACGGGACACCAAGGGACACCACGGGACACCGCGCCACGGGACACCACGGGACACCACGAGACACCACGGGACACCACGGGGCACCACGAAACACCACGGGACACCGCGGCAGGTGACACCACGGGACACCACAGGACACCGGCGGGACTCCCCCAAGCCACCGCCGGCCCACCAGAAGGCGTAGAGTCATTGAGCTTATTTTCGCCCTAGCCACGGCGGGTTCACGCAGCTTCGCCGTCCACAGTTCACATCGAACTCGCCCAGCAACCTCCGACCTGTACGACCACCCTTCTGGTGATTAGGAGGTTGTGAGGGGAGTTCAGCTTTCGGTGTGCGATTGGGTCAGATCGGATTCGGCGGAAACCAGTTAGGCACCAGCATCTCTACCGACCTACCGATCTCACGACTGATCTCCCTCTATCGATCTCACGATCTATCGATCTCACAATCGACCTCACCATCGATCTCACTATCGATTTCTATATGGATCCCACTATCGATCTCACAATCAACCTCACGGGACACCACGGGACACCGCGCCACGAAACACCACGGGCCACCACGTGACGCCGGCGGGACTCCCCGAGCCACCGCTGGCCAACCAGGGGGGGTAGAGTCATTGAGCTCACTTTCGCCCTAGCCACGGCGCGTTCAGTCCTCTCGCCCGCCCCCGCAGCTTCGCCTCGCCTGCAAGCAAGACACGACAGCAACACCGAAACCGATTTCCCAATGGGGCTTCCCCGTTTCGCTTCGAACTCACTCCGAGACTCCGATATGTATATGCACATGTGTAAGCACACACACACACATATATCTATATATATATATATATGTAAACAGATCTGTAAGTACATACAGATCTGAATATGCATCTATACATACATGAATCCGTCACCGCGCCGCGTGGCGCGAACTGAAATTGGCTCCAGGACATCATATGTCCTCTGTTCTCTGTACTCAGGACTGGGGGATGATAGTATTCGAAAGGCTGGGGCCCCAAATTATCAAATGTCCTGGGCGTTCCCGTGCGTTCCTGGGCTGCACCGCATGACTTTTCCAGAAGCCAGAGGGCCCCAAGACGGGCCAAGCGGCCTCCAAGACAGCCCAAGAGAGCTCCAAGATGGCCCCAAGACGGCCCCAAGACGGCCCAAGACGCCCAAATGAAGCCCCAAGAGCGCTCCAAGAGGACCCCCAAGAAAGCCTAAAGAGGCAAACATCATTGACGTTCCTTTTGTGTTCCATGTTTATCGCAATCTCGCGTTTTCGGACTTCCGAGGCTCCAAGATGGCCCTAGAGGCCCCCCAAACCGCCTCAAGACGGCCCAAGAGGCCCCCAAGAGGGCCCCAAGACGGCCCAAGAAGGCCACCAAACAGCCCAAGAGACGCCCAAGATCGCCCGCCCCAAAAGGGGCCCACTTCGAGCCTTCCGCCGAATGAAAACCCCAGGACGCCCAAAGAGGCCCCCAAGAGAGCAGCCCAAGCGGCCCCCTAGAGAGCCCAGCAGGCCCCCTAGAGAGCCCAAACAGAAGCCCCAAGAGGCCCCCAAACGGCCCCCAAGAGGCATCAAAACTGACTCAAAGAGGCCCCCGAGAGGCCCCCCACGATGTTCAAACGAACATCCGAGAGACCTCTAACCCACAGCCCAGGCACGGCGGCGGGATGGGCCGAAGGCCACTATCTCTCTCTCTCTCTCTCTCTCTCTCTCTCTCTCTCTCCCTTTCTCTCTCTCTATGTATATCTATATGTGTGTGTATGTGTATGTGTGCGTATGTGTGTACGTATGTATGTATGCATGTATGTATGTATGCATGTGTAAGTGTATGTATGAATGTAAATGTGTATTTATGTATGCATTATGTATATATAGGCATGTATGCATGCAGGTATGTATGTATGTAGACAGGTGGGTGTATGTGTATGTATGCATGCATGCATGTATGTGCATGCATGCATGCGGACAGGTCTGTATGTATGCATGTATGCATGAATATGTGCATGTATACTTTAGCATGCAAACATACAGACATATACACACATACATTTATACACGTACGCTTATACATCCACATATGTGTGTGTGTGTGGCGATGCACCGCTACAAAGATACACTGGTGTCCGCCAGCCCCCGCTTGCCAGGGGTGGCAAGGCATGTGAGATGATTGGTTGCCCCGCTCACCCTCCACCTTTGACTCTCCCCTGGGGTCCAACAAACCAATTAGATGGGGGGGGCGGAAGGACGGGGGACGAGGTCGCTAACGCACATCTGGGACCCTCGGAGCCTCAAAATCACCCCTCCGCGCTCGCTAAATGCTCAAACTATGTTCTAGGATTGTTCCAGGAGGGCCCCGGCACCTCAGGGAGGCCTCAAGGACATGCATGATAGCCTTAGGACGGCCCAAGACGCCCCCAAGACGCCGAACAAGGGCCCCAGACCTCAATAGGCAAAACGCACTGATGTCCCATATGTGCTTAAACCAAACTTGGAACTTGAACTACCTAGGGAAACGAACTCTATACACTGACGCTCTTCTGCCCCTGCAGTGACACTTGCACTAGACGGCGCATCCTGGTATATACGGGATACTGGCGTATACATTTTTCGCAGCTTCCCTGGGAGACGAAAAGTATGCACCACATCACCCCGACGTCGTCCCCGACCCTCAAAAAGCCCTGGGATTGAACACCAACCCGCCACTGGTTATGTGTATGTTTCAGTTTCTGACTGCCGATTCTCTAGGCGCCTGCGAGCCCAAGACGGCCCGAGAAGCCTCCTGGCCTGCCTCAAGACTGTCCCCGGGCCCAGAGGCGGCCCGAGAGGGCCCCAGAAGCCTAAGAGGCCCTAAAGACGGCAAACAAAAGCATCATGAGAACCCTTCGGTGGCAACTCATGGGAGCCTCCACTACCAACTTGTTGGGTCTTGCGAATCGACGCGAATCGACGCTAGCCGATGCTAAGTCTGCGCTAAACCCAGACGCCAATTGTCGCCAATGCACTCTGCAGACGAAATCACGAGGGTACGCAGGGCCCCCATGATTTGAAACCGAAAGGCCCCGAAAGGGGCCCAAGGTAAGCCAACCAGGGGGACTCCAGAGCTGACGCCCCATACGACACGCTGCGTGTAGGAATTTGTCATCACGTCTGCAAGAGCACAAGTTCCTGATCAATTGCCTTTCGGATCTTTTCTTATAACCCCGCGGTCGGCGCACACATCTGGAAGCAAGTGCGGCCGTGCTTCGGGAAACGCGCCCTCGGCAGAAGACCCGGGAATTCTGCCGCAGCCCTCTCGGGGCGCCCCTGGGGGCTCCAGGGCGAGCTGAGCGCCCGCCGAAGACCCCGCGTGAACTGGATTGGCCAACTGCTGTGGCCCAGAAAACGAAAGTCGGGGATGGACAGACCCCCCTTTAGTAAAACGTGGTTTAGTGAAAACGACCTGAGGCCCAAACCTGGCGGGCGAAAGCCTGGAAAATAACGGCCACGGCGCCCTCTCGAGAACCGAAAACGGACAATTCGACGTGTCACTGTTGGGGGTTCTGTCCTCCCCCGAGAAAGATAGAAGCACGACGGAGGGCTCCTTCTGCTGCAGGGTGCTCGCCCCGCCGCAGGACACGAAGGTCCCGCCGCTCCTGCACGGGCGCCGGCTCTGTCCCGATGCTGGGGAGGGGGTCCTTTTTATGTTTATATATATAAGTAAATACATTTTCAAGTATATAATAATAATGATAATACGAATAATCTATATATATATATATATATACAAACACCCAACAATAAAAATAAAAAACAACACAACACATTTAAACAATAACAAAGAAAAAACGTCGCGGGCGTTCAAAGGGGAGCACCCAGGAAAGGGGTCAGCGGACCATGGCCCAACGCACGCGCGCGACCCACGGGGGGCTCACTTGCTGAAACAAAAACAGGGGGCCACAACACCAGAATAATTTGCATGGGCCCATGTCATGATTTCCACCACCCCAGTCATCACCCCCCGTCTTGGCCGCCCCCGATCTTCGATGCTGGGATGGGCGACTCCCAAGAGAAACATCAGCGAAAGTTCGAAGGCGACTTTCCCAGACCCCCGTCGTCATGATTCTTTCATGACGTTGAGCCCCAAAGGCCTCGACCCATTCCCTGCGGCATGTTCATCTTGAAGAATCGGCGATACATCGCCGATAGACTGGCGATAGGCCCCCCATAGTGAATCCGCACCTTCCTGGGTGGGCTGGGGCTATCAGACCCCTATCGGCGATCAATGGCCGATTTTGGGTCGACGCATCCCCCCCTATGCCGATCCCCCCCATGTCGCTGCCCTTGATTAGCGTGTCGAACCCCGCGATGGGCGACCGGCCATTTTCGCGCCATCGCGCCGCTGTCCTGGAGAAAGGGCACCTTCGCGGCCCAGGCCGCGACATGCGCGGTGAAATTTATATTCGCGCCCCCGCTCGTGACCTAGGTATCGATCCGGCCAGCAGCTGACACACCAAAAGGGTCGCCCGAATTCTCTGGACTATTGAAACAGGGGCTCCCAAAACCCAGAACATCGAAATCCTCAAGGACGTCGGAATCCTCAAAAACCTCTCCGCACGGTCGTTCACCGCAGGGTGTTGGGACACTGAAAGCCCCAGTAGCCCGAAACATCCTCGGATAACGACCCATGTCCCAAAATCATGCGGTCATCCCGAGTCCCCACGGACTCACCACAATGTATGGTCACCAGATCGACTGGAGGCCCCCGATGAGCGCGCCGTGGCCGCAAGCAACCGCCGTGGCCACAGGGTGCGTCGCCGGACATCGCCAGGTCGCCGCGGGGAATCGAGGGCCCGTCGAAGAAACAAGCAAGATAGAAGGGGAGACGGAGCACAGAGGTCGACTACACGCAAAAGTGACCCTGGGTGAGAGCGACGGGGCCGCCCAGCTTGGAGCCGTGGGTGCCCCCACGCCCCACACCGCCGAGCCCCCCCGAACCCGGCTGAGGGGGCTCGGGCTGCACACAGAGAGCCAGCCGAGGCAGCCCCGCCTGGCCCCAACAAGCCCCCCCCCCCCCGAGCGGCCCGTGGCGGTATGCCGACGCCCTGGCGTCGCCGGGCGCCCCGGGCCTGGCGTGCCGAGGCCGCCGTGGGCCACTCCGGGAGGCCCCGTCGAGGCCAGGTCGGCCTGCCTCGGCGGGCTGTCTGCGCGCAGCCCGAAGCCTGGGGCGGCGCCGCCAGCGGCGGCGCCGGGCCCTGAGAGTCGACGCCGCGAAGCAAGTGCAGCATCGAAAGAGATCACGCCCAGAGCCCCAGACCCCACCTTGCTGCGTCGGTTTTCAGGCCAGATCGATCTGCGAGGGCCCTGCAGGGCCCGAGAACAAAAAAAGCGAAAACGCCTGGCTCGAACAAACATGAGACGCCATCTCCAGGGGGTGCTGATGCTGATGCCGCCCCGAAACACTCGGGCGGGCCTCCTGTGGCCAGGTGGAACTAATTACCTGGGAGAGCTTTCTGTGCGCAACACGAAGTCTCACCAGTTGTGGGCGGGCACGCACCATAGTTGACTCCAGCGAAGGGTCACTCTCGCTTGTCTTGAGAACTCACGTAATCCTGAGCCCCAAGCGCGAGGGAATATGCTCGCCAACCGGCCCCCCCGTGCTCCGTTTCGGGACGATCCAGGGAATCCAGGAAACGTTGGAAATCCGGCGACGAACTCCAGACGGGCGCCCTCGCATGGACATCCTCAGAAAACCGCCCCCCCCCCCAGCCTCCCCAAAGCGGCCATTAGAAGCTCCCCGGGAGATCTGGCATTCGGGCGCCCTCTCCCGAGACATCCTCAGCAGAGCTGCCCCCCGAGCCTCCCCAAGGAGGCCCTCAGACGCGCGCATGGGGCGCACCCGGCGTGTCCCACAGCCACGGGGCTCTCTCGCTCGAAGCATCCTCCCAACAACGACCACTGGGCGCGCGAGAACGGCAGGCCCCACAGCGCCCCGGGGGATCTGCCAGCGCCGGGGCTCCCGGCGCGCCGGGACACGCCGGGCGTGCCCCAGTCTGGGGCTCGCCCTCGAGACAGCCTCCGAAGCTCGACCCCAGGCGCGCGAGAGTCATGCCCGGGGATCTGCCGGTGCGGGGCGCAGTGGGCGTGTCCTATAGTCCAGGGATGTCGCTCGAGAAATGCTTGAAAAAGAGGCCTGGGCGTGACCACATCTGGGGCTCCCGCTCGACACCCTCGCAAAGTCGCCAAATCGCCCCCCGATGGAGACCTCCGAAGACGGTGACGAGGGTGAGCAGGGAGAAAGACGTAGGAGGACGGAGGAGGGGAGGAGGAGGGAAGAGGGGAGGAAGAGGAGGAGGAGGAGGAGGAGGAGGAGGAGGAGGAGGAGGAGGAGCAGGAGGAGGAGGACAGGAGGAGGAGGAGGAGGAGGAGGAGGAGGAGGAGGAGGAGGAGAAAGAAGGAAGACGAGGAGGAGATGGAGGAGGAGGAGGAGGAGGAGAAGAAGAAGAAGGAGGAGAATTGGAGGAGATGGAGGAGATGGAGGACGAGGAGGAGGAGGAGGAGGAGAGGAAGGATGAGGGTGAGGATGAGGATGAGAAGGAGGAGGAGGAGGAGGAGGAGGAGGAGGAGGAGAGTTGGAGGAGATGGGGAAGGAGGCGGAAGAGGAGGAGGAACAATCTCACGAGATGTCCTGGGAGGATGTGGAGGAGGAAGTGGAGGTTCCAAGCATGAAAACGGAAAGGGCTGGATGCTACCGCCTCCCGCTCATTCTCCTCTCGCCAACAAGCGCACGCCCTCTATGTAAAGAAATTCCCGATCAACCGCGGTGAGGCCGGCTAGTAGGCATCTCTCTCGGAGGTCGCCTCAGACCGGTGCGCGTGATCTCGCTGATGTCGTTCACCTGTGACTCCTCGGGCAGGCCGTTCCTGTGCAAGTGGATCGACCTCGCCGCTTCCTTCGCTCTTCCACGCGCCCCCTGGAGGAGGAACAGGAGGAGGAGGAGGAAGAGAAGGAGGAGGAGGAGAAGTGGGAGAGGGAGGAGGAGGAGGAGGAAGAGGAGGAGGAGGAGGAAGAGGAGGAGGAGGAGGAAAAGATGAGGAGGAGGGGGAGGGAGGGAGGGAGAGAGGGAGGAAGGAAGGTTCTAGGAGGAGGACCAGTGCAAACTCAAAACTCATCAATGATGTTTGAATAAACCCTCCCTCCAAGCTTCCTCTTTATGGCCCCTACAAGAGTGCACTTCCACTGAGGGAACTGCGACGTTGGGAAGCAACCTTTTGAAGACCTTGGAGCATGCCACAACAACATTCTCGGGACCCAATCGCCGCGGATCAACCTGACTGTTGCGTCTTGACGATCCTGAATCGCGCCAGAACGCCATTCCTGGAACATCAACACCGCGAATCACCGTAACTGTTGTACCCTCGCAATCCGGAGTCCCTAAAAATCTTGCAACTGTACGGAGCGAATGTGCGCGGCGCGAATGCGAGAGCCACCTTTTTGAAAATGTACGCCCTCGATCCGTGAAGCCCTTGCAAGCTTGTCAGGTAAAACGAACGCGCGCGGCGCAAAGGCGTGAGCCACATTTTTGACGACCACCGGCCCTCAATCTGCCAAGCTCTTGCGAATTTTCAAAACGAATGTTCGCGGCGCAAAAACGAGAGCAACATTTTGAAAACCACCCGCCCTCAATCTGCGAAGCTCTTGTATTGATTGTAAACGAATGTTCGCGGCGCTGAGGCGAGAGCCACATTTTGAAAACCAGCCGCCCTTCATTTGCCAAACTGCTGCCAATGTTTAGGTAAGCTTCAGGGTCATTAGTGGTGAGGAAGTCTCAAGCGAAACGCCCGGCCCGCCCTTTCGACCAGCCTCGGGGTGCGACAGGGAGGAATTACTTAAAAGGAAAAGAGATGGAGGATGAGGAGGAGGTGGAGAATTGGATAATACGATGAAGAGGAGGAAAAAGGAGAGGGAGGAGGGGGGGAGGGAGGAGGAGGAGGAGGAGGAGGAGGAGGAGGAGGAGGAGGAGGAGGAGGGAGCTCATCGTCTTCCTCGCCTCCCTCCTCAGGCTGCTCGGCCATCTGGCTCTGCTGGCATTTCTCCCTGCCGGCCCCTAATACTCCTTGACTCCCCCTAGCTCTTGTCCACCGCATAGCGCCCTCGCCCACAAGCATCCAGCCAAAGCGCCAGTGCTCGCCATTCTCACAGTGCGAAAAGGCACGTCCCCACGCTCGCACCAATGATGCCTCGAGCTGTTCTTTGATTGAGCAGGCACCCTACGAATCAAGCTGCAATCAAGTTGCCACGATGAGCCTGCAAATAGCCTGCAAGTTGCAGCAATGAGCCTGTATGAGACATGCGGTGACAACACCAAGGGATAACTAGAAGACGTGCGATAGCACTACACAAGCATCCCGGCAAACTACGGAGCCGCAGCCCCGACATAATACGATTACCGCTTCGGGCAAACAGGGGAAATATCAGCTTTGTGTACGGAGTATGTGCGTGCGTGTGTGTCTGCGTGGTTGTGTGTGCGTGTCTTTGTGTGTGGAGGGGGCGAAAATGACGTGCAGTGGTTCGATCACGCGCGGGCTGCATGTATTGAATTCTACACCGCACGAAGGGGGGAACAAATGTGCGAATCACAATATCACATGATGCGAGGCAGGTTCATGCGCATGCAGCGGCGCTACTATACGAATCCTTAGAACCACTGCAACATGTACCTACCAAGCGATGTATCGCAACGTGTCTTGCCGGAGGAGATGCGCTGGGACTGGATCCCTCTCCTCGTCCGCCTGCCCGGTAGAGTCAGACATTGGGACGGGGCCATCTTGGAAACCTTTTGGGGTCCAAGAAGCAGGCTTCGAAAACAAGCTCATTCGAAGCATGTGTTGGAGAATGCCGAAAGCGTCTCCAAGGGCCATCTCGGAGACCTCCTGGAGCCCTGTTGGGCTACATTGGAGCACCCTCTGGGCACTCCTGGGCCGTCTTGGGCACCTCTCAGAGTCCAAAAGGCAAGCTTACAATGACAACTCCTTCGGGGTCTCCAATTCTGGAGGGCATCTCAAGCGAAACCGTATGTTTGGACGCCCTTCCCAACACAGCGGGAAGCGCTGCTGCTTGAGCCATTCGCCGCCGTTGCTGCTGCCTGCTATCGCCTGACACTCGTTGCTGTTGCTTGGTGTTGCCTGCCCCTGCGCCGCATTGCAAACTGCTGGTTGCTGCTGTTTGCCGCCGTGCGCTGCTGCTTGCTGCTGCTGATTGGGTATTGCTTCGCCCCTCTCGGAGCCTCTCTTGGGACCTACTCTGCGTTTCTTCCAGCCTCGTGAGGCCTGGCGGGCAGTCTCAGAGCCGTCCCAAACCGTTACGCAACTCTGTAAGGGCCTTCTGGCGGCTTGCCTGGGACCGTATTGGACCGCAGGTGGTGTCCCTTGGGGGGGCCTCTCGGGGGGGCGTCGTGCGGGCCTTCTGGCCATTCTTGGGCCGCCTCTGGACGTCCGGAGGGCCCGTTGGGGGCCCTGTTCGACCAGCTCGGCAGCATGCTGGGCCTCACCTGGTGTCTCCTAATCCGTCTTGCACTCCTCGAAAGGCCATCTCGAGCCGTGCTGGGAGCCTCTTGGGGCACTCCTGGGCAGCGGCGGGGGCGGTCAGCGGGGTGCCCACGTGGTCAGCCGCGGAGCGCTCTCTCTCTCTCTCTCTCGCTGGGGCCCTCTTGGGGGGCGCGGCGGAGCCGAGAGCGCGAGCGCGCCAAAAGCAGGACAGCTCACATGGGTTTTGACAGTTGTGCCTGTCGGGGCCATCTCTGGAGGCGTCGTGGAGGCTCTCTTGGAGCCTGGCGTGGGCCACCTCTGGGGCCTGGTGGTGCCCGTCTTGAGCATCGCCGAGGCTGCCTGTGCCACCCTGGGAGCATGTGTGAGCCCTCTTGGGCCCTCTGGAACACCCGCGGCGGCCCCAAAAGGCGAGCTCATCAACACACACGGCTCATTCGAGGTCTCCGTTCCTGGAGTCTCTCAAACGAAGCCGCCGTTGTTGGAGATGGTACCGAAGGCTTCCCCCATCACAAACCATTCCACCTCCTGCGCACAGAAGCAAGTCGCTTCGCGCTTCCCGTCGTACTCCGAAGGGGTGCCTTTCGGCGGTCCAGAGCGCTCTCCCCATCAAACTCGCCTTCCCTTTTTAACCATCCAGACGAGAATCGCTTCGCGAGCCACGTCATACTACGACAGGCCCCGTGAGTTTGCAACGCACTCTCCCAGGCCAGATTCCCCCTCTCTTCACTGCGTTTTGGAGGGAGGGAGGGAGGGAGGGAGGGAGGGAGGGAGGGAGGGAGGGAGGGAGGGAGGGAGGGAGGGAGGGAGGGAGGGAGGGAGGGAGGAGGGAGGGAGGGAGGGAGGGGGGGGGAAAGGAGGGGGGCCCCTCCTTTCCCCTCGCTTCGTTTTGGGCCCCCGAGCGTTCTCCCCCTTCACACCTCCGCTCCCTTCGAACATGTGAGCGTGAATCGTTTCTCGCTTCCCGTCATACGGAAACGCTCCTTACACGGGCAATCGAACTCCCGGCCCCGCTCCGCCCCACTGTACCCCGTCCTAAATCCAATCGTGAATCGCTCCGTGCTTCACGTCGTACGCCGCATCACCGTCCCTCTTGGAATCCGACCGCCTCTGCATTAAACTCAAAAGAGAAATAGTTATGCGCTTTTCGTCAACCAGTGAGTCCACATTCCCAAGGATACGATCCCTCGTGAGAACTATGGATCCATGCGCTCGAGGCCGCGATGCTCCTTGTGAAAACACAGGTCCGCGCCTCCGAGGCCGCGATCACATGTGAAAAGCGAGAAGCCCACATTGAAAAGGCCACGAAATTCAAACAAAAGAGACCGATCCGCGCTCGCGGAGACACGATCCTCAATTAAAGTACAAGAAGTCCGCGTTCCCGAGACCACGATCGATCATAAAAAAACAACTGGCGTGTGCTTCTCCGCGGAAAACACGCCTCTGGCTTCGTCATTTGATGCCTTTTCTCGTCTTAGCGAACCCGTCAGCACACCAGCCGGCCAGCCCACCAGCATGCCAAGCAGCCAGCCAGCCTGCCAAGCAACCAGCCTGCAAGCCAACCAGCCAGCCGACCTGCCAAGTAGACAGACAGAGGACCAGCCAGTCAGCCGCCTGCAAGGCTGCCAACCCAAAAGCCAATCAGCCAACCAACCAACCCAATCCAGCCATGCAAGCAATCAAGAGGGGGGGCGCAGGCAAGGGCGAAACTCTCCAATGCGAGGGGTCGGTATGCGAAGATGGCCAGACAACTCTGCCTCGAAGGGCGGCTGGGGTTCAAGCTTGTTGCTGACAGGACTCGGGGCTCGCAGCCGAGCGGGCGCACAAGCGGGCGAGTGCCCGACTTGGGGGGGGAGGAGGGCCATGACCACCCGTCTCAAGAGGGGGTCGCTGGCTCCCCTCCACCACCCTCTGGACGCTCTTCCCTATACAATCTAAGAACCGTCGCTCAGTGGCTGCCCGGCGTGAGACGGGGATCCGCCGCACAAGCCGGGTCCGTCCCGCCACCCTCTGGACGGGAGAGGGCCCAGACCCCCGACGTAATGATTCTTTCATTACGTCGACCCCCAGAGGTCCCGACCCTTTCCCCATGACCAGCTTTGCACCCTGAGTCGTTTCTGACGCTCCCGAGGCCCGGTGAGGGCCCCGGAGGCCGAAAATTAGGAAAAACCTCCCGTCATGATTTTTTCATTACTCCAGCGGGTCTGGGGGGTGTCCCACTGCGAGCGGTGCGGTGCGGGAGCGCTTCGGGGGCCCTGGACCCTGCAGGGCGGGGACGGAACGCACCCGGCCACCCCCGGGCCACACAGGGCAGCGCACCCTCGCACTGGGCGCGTCATCGGGCACAGCCCCGGCCTGCCCGGCGGTCAGCGACGCAGCCACAGGTCACGATGCTCTCGCCAGCTCGCCCGGAGCCCTGCTTCCTCCTCCTCCGCCGCCTCCTCCAGTCCTTCTAATTGTGAATAACTTCTCCCTGTCGCTCCCTCGAAGCCAGATTCTAGGGCGGGCCAGGCGTTTCGCCTGGGACTTCCTCATAATTGACGACCATGAAGCTTTAACAGTTGGCAGCAGCTTCACGGATGGAGGGCGGGTGGATGTGGTTCTCGCCTTAGCGCCGCGGAATTCGTTTGAAGATTTGGAAAAGCTTCACGGATTCAGGGCGACTCGTTTTCAAAATGTGGCTCTCGCCCTAGCGCCGCGCACACGTGTTTTAACAATGTGCAAGAATTTCACGGATTGAGGGCGACCCGTTTTCAAAATGTGGCTCTCGCCTTCGCGCCGCGCACATACGCTTCAAACAAAATGCTACAGCTTCACGGATTGAGGGCGGCTCATTTTCAAAATGTGGCTCTCGCCGTAGCGCCGCTCACATTCGTTTGACAATATTGCAAAACAGTTTCACGGATTCCCATGATCAACGTACCAGGAACGGTGTTTTGAACGGATTCCGCATTATGAGGGTGCAACAATTACGTTGATTCGCGGCGTTGAATTCCCGAGAATGGCGTTCTGGCGCTATCCCGGATCGTCAAGACGCAATAATCAGGTTGATCCGTGGCGCTGGAATCCCGAGAACAGTGTTTTAGCATGCTTCAGAGTCTTCAAACGGTTGTCTTCCAACGAGGCAGTTCCCTCTGTGGAAATGAACCGTTGTAGGGGCCTGTGAAGAGGGAGCTTGGAGGGAGGGTTTATTCGAACATCGTTGACGACTCTTGGGTTTACACTGGTCCTCCTCTTCCTTCTTCTCCTCCTTCTCCTCCTTCTCCTCCTCCTCCCTCCTCCCTCCTCCCTCCTCCCTCCTCCCCTCCTCGGCCTGCTCCTCGACGGGCCCTGCCTGTGTCCCCCCAGCACCCTGGAGCCCCAGGCGGCAGCTCGGGAGGGACAGGGGGAGGGCTGGGACCCGAGTCGCCCGAGCTCGCGCCTGGTGGCCGGAGTGCCAGGCGTGACGCGAGCGGTTACCTGTGCACAGCCTCGCGCCGCAGCACCAGGAGAAGAGCAGCCCTCCAGCCCAGCCCACGCCGCCCGGAGCGAGGTCACCCTCGGCCCCCCCTGCGATGGGTGAGCTGGTCTTCCTCTTCCTCCTCCTCCTCCTCCTCCTCCTCCTCCTCCTCCTCCTCCTCGCCTCTTCCTCCCCCTCCCTCCTCCTTCCTCCCTTCCTCTTCGTCATCCTCGTGTTGGTCTTCTGCCTCCGCACCCGTCCTCCCCTTCTTATCCTCCGTCTCCTCCTCCTCCTCCTCCTCCTCCTCCTCATTCCTCCTCCTCATTCCTCCTCCTCCTCCCCTCCTCCTCCTCCTCCTCCTCCTCTCCTCCTCCTCATTCCTCCTCCTCCTCCTCCTCCTCCTCCTCCTCCTCCTCCTCCTCCTCCTCCTCGGGGACGAAAGGAGCAGGTGGGAACAGGGGTGAAGTCCTCGCAGGAGTCGCAAAAGAGCGCCCGGTGGCCGCCCCGCCGGCGCGCGAGCCTGGAGCCCGAGTCCGAGCAGTGGCTCGAGTTGTGGCCGTCCCTCGGGCAGGGGTGGGGCACGAGGAGGAGGAGGAGGAGGAGGAGGAGGAGGAGCAGGAGGAGGAGGAGGAGGAGGAGGACGAGCAGGAGGAGGAGGAGGAGGAGGAGGAGGAGGAGGAGGAGGAGGAGGGGGAGGGGGAGGAGGAGGGGGAGGGGCACGAGCGCGGTGTGGACAGATCGGGCGCGGTCAACCAGCAGAGTGTTCCAGGGAAGCGAGCCCCCGTGCTCTCCGAGAGTCTCTGGACGATCTTTTCAAAGCTCTCCTCTGCGGCTGTTGCGGCCACGATGGAACACTTGAAGGATGGCCGCACTCTGTGCGAAATACTGCTGCTCAAACTCATAATTGCCCTGACCCCATGCACCCTTATAAAAGACAAGAGTCTCTCTGTCAGCCACCGTGCCGTAGGCGCTGAGTGGAGTGTCCGCAGGCCCCATTAGTTACGGTGAAGGCATTAGATAAGGAAGCATTGGATAGGGTCTGGAAGCCGGAGGAACATCATTTGAAGCTTCGCCATGGATATCACCGCCGCCCTCATCAGGGAAGACATCCTCTAGGGACTGAGGCCTCCCGTGCACTTTCCTCAGCAGACGCCCCCCACCAAAGATTTTGCAACGCATTTACTCTTGACGAACTCTTTCTTTACAGGCCCCAGACACTAAATCGCGGGCGCTCTTGGGCGCTTCCGGGCTCTCTTCGGGTTCACCACGTGGCTTTTCCCAGAGGCCTCGGGAGCGTGGCCCGAGTTCTGCACCTCAAGCACGCACCAAGATGGTCTTGGGGGGTGCGGGCTGGAGCCCTACTGAGGTCCCCATGGGCCAATTTGGAGGCTGTGGGGGCAGACCCAAGCGGCCAAACCAATTCAACACACGCTGGGTTGCTGCATTATCTGTGCACTGCCCCTTTTCACTTGTAAGAGCGTCCAGGACGGTCCAAGAGGCTGCCAAGACCGCCCCAGGACGGCGCCCAAGCATCCAACAGGGGCCCAAGATACTCCAGATTTCGTAATAAAGGGAGGGGGGTCTCATTTCGGGGGGGGGGTCTCTTCCAGGCCATCTTGGAGGGCCTGGGGGGTCTGGGGACGATGGTTTGGAGGGTTCTCCCACGGGGGAGGTCTGAAATGGCCTGTCTTGGAGGGTCCAGACCCCCTCCCTTTTATTACGAAATCTGGAGTACCCCAAGGACGGCGCCAAGAGTGGCCAAACAGGAAGAGCTCGAACTGGCATGAGGAGGCCCCCGTCCCCAAGACCTGCCCCCGAGACCGCCCGGCAGCGGGCCCCAAAGACGGCGCCCGAGAGGCGCCACAGAAGCCACCGTAGACCTCCAAGCTGTCCCCAGGAGGCCTCCAGGGAGACCCCCGAACAGGTCCAAAGGTGGCCTCGACGATGCTTTTAATTCACATATATATATGTGTATACACATATATATATATATGTACTAGACAAATCGCGCGCGATTCGCGCGCGCGCTCAAGTTTCTAGCTGGGCTTGATGGGCTAACTCATGGGATATGATGTTGGTCGTTGCCTGCATCCAGGGTCTAATGTTGGTCGTTTCTTGCGCGAGCCTCGGCATCACTGCGGAAACGCAGAAATCATGAAGTCCCGTTCGGTGTTCATCGATTTGGGGCCCTCAAAGATTTCCTGTGTTCTTTTCTGGGAGCTGAGGGGGACCTTAATTGTGGTCTGTTGTGCAAGAGTAGACAGGGGGGCGAACTTGATAATTATCCTGGCGAAGGACCCAACCATATGCAGTTGTGAGTAACGCGTTGTGCGTGCCGCGTGCGGTGGAGCTTCCTATAGGGCCACGATACGCGTGAAGGACGTGCCGTGCTGGGTGGGTGGGGGAAACGCCTTCGGGCCGTGCCACTGGGGCATTCGGTGGGGCTCCCTATGGGCCACGAGACGCTGTACTGGGCGTGGCGGACGCAGGCGGGCGGTGCCCTGCGCTGGAGCTCCCGATGAGGCCACGAAACGCTGTACTGGTTGGGGGAGACGCACGCGGGCTGTGCCACTGGGGTCTTTCTGTGGGGCTCCCTACGGGGCCACGAAACGCTGTACTGGGTAGTGGCCGACGCATGCGTGCCAGTGGGGGCTTCGGTGGGGCCACCTATGGGGCCACGAAACGCTGTACTGGGAGGGGGGGGCGCATGCGGGCGGTGCCACTGGGGCCTTCGGTTGAGCTCCCTATGGGCCCACGAAGCGCCGTACCGGGTGGGGTGTCGCATGCGGGCGGGCCACTGGGGCTCCCCACGGGGCCACAAAACGCTTTACCGGGTGGGGGGGGCGCATGCGGGCGGTGCCACTGGGGCTTGGTGGAGCTCCCAATCAATGGGGCCACGAAGTGGAGCAGTCGGTGGTGGACGACGCACGCCTGCGGTGCGACTGAGGTCTTTTCGTGGAGTTCCCTATGGGGCCACGAAACGATGTACTGGATGGTGGCTGACGCATGCGGGCGGTCCCACAGGGACCATCGGTGGAGCTCCCGATGGGGCCACGAAGCGCTGTACTGGGTGGTGGCTGACGCACGTGGGCGTTCCCACTGGGACCATCGGTGGAGTTCCCTATGGGGCCACGAAGCATTGTACTGGGTGGTGTCTGACGCATGCGGGCGGTCCCACTGGGACCTTCGGTGGAGCTCCCTATGGGGCCACAAAACGCTGCGCTGGGTGGTGGCTGACGCATGCGGGCGATGCCAATAGGGCCCTCAGTGGACCTCCCGATGGGGCCCCGAAGCGCCGTACTGGGTGGGTGAAACGAAGGGAGCAAGGGCTGTGCTGGGTGGTGGTTAGCGCTGTGGGCGGTCCCACTGGGACCTTCGGTAAAGCTCCCGATGGGGCCACGAAACGCTGCACTGGGTGGATGAAACGCAGGGAGCAAAGGCTGTGCTGGGTGGTAGCTAACGCATGTGGGTCGAACGCAGGGAGCAAAGGCTGTGCTGGGTGGTGGCTAACACATGCGGGCGGTCCCACTGGGGCCTTCGGTGGAGCTCCCTATGGGGCCACGAAGCGCTGTACTGAGGGTGTGAAACGCAGGGAGCAAAGGCTGTGCTGGGTGGTGGCTGACGCATGCTGGCGATGCCAGTAGGTCCCTCAGTGGACCTCTCGATGGGGCCACGAAGCGCTGTACTGGGTGGCTCAAACGCAAAGAGCAAGGGCTGTGCTGGGTGGTGGCTGAAGCATGCGGGCGGTCCCATTGGGACCTTCGGTGGAGCTCCCGATGGGGCCACGGAGCGCTGCAATGGGAGGGTGAAACGCAGGGAGCAAGGGCTGTGCTGGGTGGTGGCTGACGCATGCGGGCGGTCCCACTGGGTCCTTCGGTGGAGCTCCCAATGGGGCCACGAAACGGTGTCTTGTGTGGGTGCAACGCAGGGAGGGGGGAGGAGGAGGAGGAGGAGGAGGAGGAGGAGGAGGAGGAGGAGGAGGAGGAGGAGGAGGAGGAGGAGGAGGAGGAAGAGGAGGAGGAGAAGGAGGGACGCGGGGCGCTGTCTCTGCAAAACAACGACCCAACACCACGGAATGGTTGGGAAAAAGGAACTGCGGGATTCCCTTTGTTGATCAAGTTGCCGTGCCTGAGCTGTGGGTTAGAAGTTTTCTGGATACAGGCCACGGTATGTTGGGATGCGTCTAGTGGTTCGTGCAAAAGTAAGCATGGGGCGATTTTTCATAAAAGAAAAAAGTATATTGTTTTTCTCGATTCATGGGATCATGGGATCTCGATTTCTAACGGTGGTTTCAGGGGCAGCCACGAGGACACGAAGACGACCCAAGAGAGTACCAAGACAGCGTTAGAGAATTCAATCATATTCCCGACAAATCTTGCATGTGACCCCGAAGTTTTGATGGGGCTCGAGGAAGAGGATCTGGAGTAGGAGTCCCAACTTGAAAAAAAGATGATCTCTGGAATTCCATTTTTTTCAAGTTCACGTCGTATGTGTATGACGTGCGACTGATCCGGCCTGCAAAGTGTGCCCTGTGCATGGTGTCTAGGCTTCCGTGTGCTCTCTGTGCCGTCATCCGCCGACGGCGCGGGGAAGCATCCCCAGGGAGATCCGCCGGACTTGTGGGGCCCGGCGGCCGCGGCACGCAGGGTGTGCGAGGCGGGTCGGGCCCTGCCCTTTGAAAGCTGACAACCTCAACATTTCGGGGGAGCGGAACGGAAGTCTGCGCGCCAGCTCCGGTAACCGGAGCGGTCCCCTAGAGGGCAGACCGTGCGCTGAGCATGTCGGACAAAAATGAATGTCGGCAACGAGCACAAATCGCCTGGAGGGCAAAATGCGATTAATAAATCCTCTGGAGGGGAATAACAAATATGGATCTCGCCCCAGCGCCGCGCACAGTCGCCCCAACGTGCTCAAAGGATGCGCGGAGAGACGGCGAGACCCGTTCGCAGTGGGACTGTCGCTACAGACGTCTTCCCTCTGACAGTCGCCATGATCCCTACGCATACGGAACCTTTTCACGAATTGCGAGTGGCTGTCCTGCGCATCTGAACGGGGTCGCTTGATAGTTTAAGGCAACAGTTGCACGTATAGGGGATGGCTTCTTTTCAAAACAGGTTCTGGAAGGCACATCCTTGCACTTGGTGGGTGTTACTACAGGTCGGTTGTTAAACCACACATTACTGTCTGAACAAAGCTCTCGCCTGCATGGAACGCTCACGGGGGCGCTCGCGTTTCAAAGAAGCTCCCCCTCTCACTGCAAAGGAACACCTGCAACTCAAGGGACGGGGCTGCAGACGGGAGGGTGTGTTGCATACATGGCTGATGCATCCTGGGCTTGATCTGGCCTTTCTCCACCACCTCCTCCTCTCCCTCGTCCTCCATTTCCTCCTCCCCCTCCTCCTCCTCTTTGGGAAGGCATGGGGTTGTGCACAGACTGCCCCCCAGGTCGTCACGACTCGGCCCCAACAGGGCCCCGAACAGTCCCAGGCGGTGTCAAGACCCCAGCCATGGATCACCCCAGGGGCGCCGCCGGAGGCGGCGCCAATGTGTGGAGACCGAACTGGGCTTCTCGGGGGCCCTCTTGAGGCCAGCCGGCACTACCTGGGGGGGCTATCTGTGCGCAGCCCGAAACCGCGCCACTCCTCCTCCCCAGAGATCCGACGTCGTGATTTTTTCAATACGTGGTCCCCCGAAGTCTCGACCCATTCCCCAGGACCGGTTTCTCATCCTGAACCGTTTTTTGACGGTCCCGGGGCCCGGCGAGGGCCCCTAGAGGCCGAACATCGAGAAAAACCTTCGTCTTGATTTTTTCAATACGTTGGAGGTCTGGGTCATCCTTTCCCTTCCCCGCGCTCCCGCGCGCGCTGGAGCCTCGAGCAGGCCGCTGCAGCCTGCCACAGGCCGGCGGACGCGTCGCCGACCTCGAGAAAAGAGCGCGCCCCGCTCCCCTCCGCGGCCCCCCCTTTTCACCTTCGCCCCCTCCCCCCTCCCTGCTTTTCCCTGCTCCTCCTCCTCCTCCTTCCCCTCCTCCTCCTCCTCCTCCTCCTCCTCCTCCTCCTCCTCCTCCTCCTCCTCCTCCTCCTCCTCCTCCCGTTCCTCCTCCTCATCCTCCTCCTCCTCCTCCCGTTCCTCCTCCTCCTCCTCCTCCTGCTCCCGCCTCCCTCCGAGGCCAGCGCGCAGCCCACACCCCTGGGAACCGCTGCTGCTGGGCCGAGGCTTGGATCGCGGGCGCTCCCCGGAGGGAAGGGGCCGCGCGCGCCGGGGCCTTTGGCAGCGCCGCCCCCCGAAGCTCCAGGGGCGAGGACGAGGAGCGAGCGAGCGATGGCCCTTCCGACGTGGAGGAGGAGGAGGAGGAGGAGGAGGAGGAGGAGGAGGAGGAGGAGGAGGAGGAGGAGGAGGATGGAGGAGGAGGAGGAGGAGGAGGAGGAGGAGGAGGAGGAGGCGTCCAGGAGACCGAAGGCCCCGTACCCTCTCAGGAAGAGCTCTGCGCGCGTACCGCTCGAGGCCCCCACCCCCGCATGTGAGGCAGCCCTCCGCGCGCCTGGGCCTCCCGAGGCAGGGGCGGAAGCAGAAGGTGGCACGGCCTTCATGTCGAACGGCACCTCTCCGCCTGCAGTCCACGGGAACACCTTAGGAGCGCCCACCGATCCAGGCTGATCCAGGCGGGATCAAAGGCCGGGCCAACAGCGATGTTGCTTAACGGTGATGTTGGGAACCAAATGGTAGGAAATCACGAGCCACACTTTCCGACACCTCCAATCCGCGAATGGGTCGAGCGAGCACGACGCAGCGAATTGCAGGAAAGCGTGAGCCACGCGCCCCCGCAATGCCGAAACCTACATCACCGTTACCTACATCGCCGTTAGCCCGTCTACGGGGGATGGACGAGAGGGCGTTGGGACATGTAGCTCACTTCCGAGAGGGCAGGAAAGTATCTGGTGAAAACAGGACGAGCCTTGACTCAGGGAGCCGCCCTCGAGAGCTAAGCACGGAGAAGACTTCGGCGCGCTCAGACGAACGCGCCACCCTGTGCTCAGCGGAAACAAACCATCATACCTTCCTAGTTCTTGAGCAACACCCACAAACACCTATCTAGATATACTATGTGACATCATATGAATATATATATATATATAATATATATAATATATATATATATATACATACATACATACATACTCCCGGACTTCAGCTTCACGCAAGAGCGACTTCAGATGCACGCAAGAGCGACCGTGGGCAAGAGTGACCTTTGATGAGCGGTTTTAAGGGGCCGCTCTGGTGGACACACCCAAGGAAACCAAGCGCGCCAGCCAATATTGGCGGGATCTCTGTGGACCCGCACCCAAAGGTCACTCTGGCGAAGCGTCACTCTCGCGCGTAGCTGATGATAGCGTCTCGCTTTAGGGCTCCAGTAATGCTTCACAGCGGACCCAAAATCTATCTCCGGGATGTCCCGATGGCTGCGTGCGCGGTGCCGGCCCGCTGCCATCTCCTGGCTGTTTTTCGTCTACGCGCAAGAGTGACCCTAGGCAAGAGTGACATTTGTGCGCGGACGAAAAGGTCGCAAAATTAGCCGCCATCGCGTCGCGCTCAGCGATCGGGGGGACCCCGATGAGCCCGCACCAAAGGTCACTCCGGCGAAAGGTCACTCTTGCGCGTAGTCGAATTTTGCTACCAGGCAGGGTTCCTCTTTGCCGGCCTCCTACGAGCACCGCAGAAACCTCGCACGACGCTCCCAGGATGGAGCAGGGACCGGCAGTCCCCGCATTATGTTCTTACCACAACATGTTATCAGAACCCCCAACATGTTACAAGAACAACAACAATGTTCTTAGAACAGAATGCGCCAAAGTAAAGCAGTCTCAGCAAGAAATACCCTAAAGAACATCCCGTAGAAACCGCAAAAGGTTCTCAGAACCTTGTTCGGTGTGCCTTACAGCCGCGCCAGGACGCTTCGCCACTGCTTGCCAGAACCCTCTCAGTCAGGCCCGATCGCCCCTCAGGAGCCTCTCGCGAGCCTCTCGGGAGCCTCCAGGCAAGGCTCCTCCCACTCGCCTCCGAAGGAGCCCTCCGAGGTGCTGGGGCGCCGTTGCACGATGAGCCCGCCGCAGGCGCTGCTTCTCTCGTTGTCGACGCGGTGTGGGCGACTCGTTGGGGTGGGTCGCGGGGGGGTCGCGGGGGGGGTCGCGAGGGTGGGTCACGAGGGTGGATTGTGGGTCGGTCGCGGGGCCGGGCCGCAGGGCTGGTCTCGGGGCGGGCCGGCAGGGCTGGTCGCGGGGCGGGTCGCGTGCTGGTCGCGCGGGGGTCGCAGGGGTGTCGCGGGGCGGGTCGGGGAAGGGTTGGGAGGCGGGTCGTGGGAGGGGGCTCGCGGGAAGGAGGGAGGGGGGACGGGGCGGCAACGATAATGCGAGTCCGCACAGGCCGAACCGCACATCAGCCACGCACGCAGGGAAAGTGTTAGGCCACTCGGCCCCCTCACTCTGCTACCCGACCTTCCTATCCTGCCTCCACGTGTGCTCGAGCAAAGGCTGGCAGTGGCAGCAGGCTTTGAAAACCCGCTAGAACTACATCTAGGGTGCTGAGACGAAGACATGGTCACCTTGCAGCGAGAGCGCAAAATGCAGAAGAAGGGGAGGAGGAGGGGGAGCTGGGAGGGAGAAAATGAGGATCTCATGTTGTATTTGAAACATATGGACACGCATTCCGAGTTCCTGATGGGATCGTTGCTTGGGGCAGGGGTGCCCGAGCGTGTGAGACGTCGTGATCGCTTCCCTTTCCGATCTCGAGTCTCCAGCTTCGAGAGAGCGTGACCCACCGGCGCTTTACTGTGGAACATTCTCTTCCTTCCTCTGGAACCCGGGGGTCTCCCCCCTCCCCTCCGAAAATCCCCCCCCTGCTCGAACCCGCCCCCCCTCCCTTCCCCCCTTCCCCCGGGACCCCCCCCCCCCCCTAACCCCTCCCCCCCCCGCCCACCCCCTCTCCGGAAAACCGCGAGGGTCACTACCGGTTCGAACCCCCTTCCCCCCCCGGGCCAGAAAACCGGGGGGGGGTCACTACCAGCTCGAACCCCCACCCCCCGTCGCCAGCGGCAAAAGACTCCCGGGTCCCCACCACCGTCCTCACCACCGCCCTCACCACTGTCCCCACCACCACCGTCCCCACCACTGCCCAGTGTCCCCACTGTTCCCACCACCGTCCCCGCTGTCCCCACCAATGCCCCCACCACTGTCGCACTGTCCCCACTGTCCCCGCCACGCTGTCGCCACGGTCCCACTCTCCCCACTGGCCCAACTGTCCCCACCACCGTCCCACTGTCCCCACTGTCCCAACCACTGTCCCCACTATCCCCGCCGCTGTCCCACTGAGCTGTCCCACTGTTGCCACCACTGTCCCTCTGTCCCCGCTGTCCCCACCTCTCTCCCCACTGTGCCGCTGTCCCATTGTCCCAGCACCGCCCTCACCACCGCCCTCACAAGTTCCCACCACCACCGTCCCCACCACTGTCCCACTGTCCCCACTATTGTCCCAGTGTCCCCTCGCCGCTGTCCCCACCACCACCGTCCCCACCACTGTCGCACTGTCCTCACTGTCCCCACCACTGTCCCCACCACGATCCCACTCTCATCACTGCCCCAACTGTCCCAACAACTGTCCCAGTGTCCCCACTGTCCCCACCATTATCCCACTGTTCCCACTGTCCCCACCGCTGTCCCACTGTGCTGTCCCACTGTCCGCACTGTCCCCACCACTGTCCCACTGCTGTCCCCACTGTCCCAACCACTCTCCCCACTGTACCACTGTCCCACCACCGTCCTAACCACCGCCCTCACCACTGTCCCCAGCACCACCGTCCCCACCACTGTCCCACTGCTGTCCCCACCCACCACCACCGTCCCCACCACTGTCCCACTGGCCCCACTGTCCCCACTGTCCCCGCCAGTGCCCCCACCACTGTCGCACTGCCCCCACTGTCCCCACCACTGGCCCCACCACGGTCCCACTCTCCCCACTGTCCCCACTCCCCACCACCATCCCCACAACCCTCCCAACCACTGTCCCCACCAGTCCCCCCTCTGGAGTGGGAGAGGAGGGCAAATCGTTGCGGCGAGGGGGGATGGGGATGGGGAGGGGGGGGGGGGGTTCGAACCGGTAGTGACCCCCCCCGGTTTTCCAGGAGGCGGGGGGGGGGGTTCGAACTGGTAGTGACCCCCCCCCCCTTTTCATGATGGACCAGGGGGGGGAGGGGGAGGGGGGGGTTGAACCCCCAGTGACTTCCCCCGGTTTTCGAGAGAGGGGGGGGACGGGATGGAACCCCCCAGTGACCCCACTCGGTTTTCGGCCAGCAGCGGTAGAACACGCCCTTGCCCAGCTGCCGGCGATGCGCCCCGTGCGGATGTTCGGTTGCAGCTCATCGCAGCCTTCCATGCCATCTTGCTGGCTTTGGCGAATCGACGCTCACCGACACTGATCGACGGTAGGCGACGCTAATTCGACGCTCATCGACGCTGAATCGGCGCTACCCCATCGATTACCACACGCTAGTCGGCGGTAACGCACTCTAAAGACGGAATTGCGAGGCTACACGGGGCTCGCATGACTTTCGGGCCGGGCGAAAGGGGGGGATAATTAGCAAAGGGGGAGGTGAGAATCAGCTTACGCAGCTGATGTTCCTGGCGCCTCCTGGCGCCGGGAGGCGCCCATGCATCGAGGAATGGGCCCCTCGGTGGGGCCGAAACCGGCTGCATGCAGCAGATTTCCTACCCCACCCTTTCTCGATAACCCCCCTTTCGTCTGGCCCGAGACCTGCCACCGAGATCTCGGGCCCTCCACCTTCCGGCGATGCACCCCGTGCGCATGCTAGCTTTAAGAAAGGGCCTGTCCCCCTACAGGGGGATTTTCGACGAACAATAGAAAAAAGAATCCCTCCAAAAGAATCCAAAAGTAGTCCGGCAATCGTCTGGGGACTATTTTTTGAGCATTGTTTCACTTTTTTATGGGCATTTTAAGCATTTTTTGAGCATTTTTTGACTTTTTTATGGGCTATTTTTGGACTATTTTTTGAGCATTTTTTGACCATTCGAGGGTACTTTTGGCCTTTCCAAGGGCTCCCCAGGGCACCCCAGGCGGCGCGCCCAGGGCCCAGGGCCTGGGCGCACCACGGGCGCTCCGTGGCTATTCCAAAGCTCCCAGGGCCCTTTCGAGGCCCTCCCAGGGCCCTCCCAAGGCACTGGGGCATTTTCTATTTTTCGTCGGAAATCCAAGGCACTGGGGTATTTTCTTTATTTTTCGTCGGAAATCCCCCCGTAGGGGGACAGGCCCGACTCGATGCTGGCTCGCCGGCGCGGGCAGACGCTGCCCCGAGGCGCGCTGCGCCTCTGGCGGCTTCGGCCGCCGCCGAGGGCGCTCCCCGGGCCGTCGCCCGCGGGCCCGGGTGCAGCTGAGGGCCGACCCGGGCACCGCTGCGCCATGGGATCGAGCAGGGACCGACCGTCCCGGCAGTCTTTATAGGCCTACCACGACATGCGCCTAGAACCCATCAATATATACATATATACATATATATATATGTATATATGTATATATATATAGG